AAATAATGGTTATAGAACCATGCAATATTTAATATTACCATATAATAGAAAATACAACGTATATTAGTCAATGTTTCCAATCATCTTTCCATACGTACAAACAATTGCTTTGTTTGTACGTATGGTCACTTATAGATTTACTTGTTTAATACAAACAAATTCCGGTATGGAAATTTTGATAAATTACGGATTTGTGAGGGAAACCTTCATATGCATGATTTGCACACAAATTTGTGTGTGCAGGTTTTTTATAACTGCTTCTGGTATGAAAATTACAACCTGCAGAGAGAGATAAGATAAAGAAAATGCTGTAACACAGCATGAAAAGCCTGGAGTATCAGGAGTCCTGCTCCCAAAATAAGTGTAAGATTCCTGGAAGTGGAGCGAGGATATTTTCCAAAGTTACAAAGTGTAATTAATCTTAAATCTTTAAAGATTAAAACTGTTTTTTGGAGAATTGTTCACCTCAAGCACATCTTAACTGAAAAAATGAATGAATGAATTTGTCCCCCAACAACAATACTTCCCTGAGGCAAAGGACAAAGCTTTTTCCTCCTTGAACCAGAGGGGATTCTTTTAAATGTCCACCTGAAAATAACATCAGTAACAGCTTCACAATTGAAGGGGGCTTTCTTTAAACCTTTCATGCATGAATTATGACAACCTCAATCAGGATTTTTTTTCTTAAGTATTTTTATTCATCTTTAGGCATGAAAAAAAAAAGATTTTTGAACTTCATTTTTTTTAAACATGTACTTTTCAAAGAGTTTTTTACATGTCCACTTAGGTGGACAACATACATTTTGACTTATGAATTTGGTATGGAGTGTCCAATGTAGTGGTTTATGTGCAAGTATACCATCAACACTGACACAAATACAAGAAAACAGCCTTTGAATAGCTGTCCACTGTAGTGACCACTGTGCGTGAAAGGGTTAAAGTAAAAAAAGAAACTTTGGTTGAAAGAGAACTTGTCAAATTCTGTCAAATTAAAACAGTGGAGTTAAAACTGATTTGATCAAACGAATTCTTTTACATTTTCAATGCCACCTCCAACTCTGCCAAATCAGATGCAACAGGAACGCTCAATCCACTTCAGCTAGAGTAGGTGGTCTTTTAAACCTGTAAATCTGAGTTAATTGTTGGCAGGTTTTGTTTATATCATACAGCCTGGAACTACAGTGATCTCTGAGGAGCGTTTTAAGCACAAGAGCTATTTTCTGTCTAGGAACAAGCTCCATACAAAAACATCCTACTTCGATCCTGCAAGCTAATCGGTCGTACTGCATCTGGATTGTTGTGTGCCGTTAAAACCTTTCTTCATACACTCTCTCAGCTGTCTTTCACCCTGACATTTATTTCTCTGGGGACAGGCTGTATATCCCCTTGTCCAGATCCACCTGTTTGATGTCCCTTCTCCTCTGAAAGCACCACTGTGTTAGTATTGGCTGCTGAGCAGTTTGCCTCAGAGCAGCCAGGGGTCAAATATCTTATTTAAAGCCAAATCGACACAACATGGTTCTTGTTGACTTTCTAGGTTTGCTGATGATCCCATTCTGCACACAGCCAAGCTTTTATTCATTTTAAAACAGCACCAGGCACCCTTTAGAAACTCTGTAGGACTACTGATGCGGTGAGATCACAGAGAGTTTGGCGCTGTTGGCCTACAGAGACACGACCCATGCCTCTAATGGTAGCTCCACAGCTGATCTGATTGTCTTGTAGTACTCCTGTTGGATCGACTTTAAGTCAACACCAATTCCGCATTTCCCTCACTATCCATGTATCGATTTCCTTTGTGTCTCATTTTCATAATCAGTTAAATCCTAGTCATTCATCTCACGTATGTGAGTTTATAGCTTTTGGAGATAGGTTATAAACCATCTGCTGCCTGTTATTGATTTGCGGTTTGTTTACATAAGCCACATGCTGCTGATTCAAAGGTACAGTTTGGGTTTTATTATAGTTTTTTTTTTTCAAGCTTTAGTTTTTACCTGGATTCACCTCGGTAGTTAAAGCCACAATAATGTTTTGTAAAGATATAAGCTGAGCTTAAATTTCCAACCATCTGTTTCTGTCTCACTGTGAGAGCAGGTTTTATACGAATATGAATAAATACAGTGGATTAGGGAACAAAGAAGATCATCAAACACAGAGGCTGCTAACAAATTTGCATGCACAACTCTGATCTGAGGAAAAGTGTAAATTTGCTTACAACAGGGGTCAGCTAACCCTGTGTGCAGAACATCTTCTGACCTCTGAGGATTTTCCTACCGTCCCTTCTTCCCTCTTGCGGTAATCAATAACAGCGGGACAAGAAGCAATGTCATAGTTTTATTTACCCGCAAACATGTCTGTGAACTGGCTGATCTAATCCATCAAGGAGTGTGAGGGATTTATATTCATAATAACAAGGGAGGTAGATATCGAAGTTGCACCGAGAGTCCCGTGGACTGAGGGCCCCTGTGCTTTGTTCCACCTTGAAGGTCAGGCTGCCTAGCTGCCTGATAGGCAATGAATGCCCATGTGCCTGGGCATGATCAAACATATTCAAATACTTGTATTTTCCAAGGCTTCCCCTGTATCTCATTAGTCTGTATTTGACTGTGAGTGACCTTGAGAATTGTAGAAAAAATTCACAGGAACAAACCAGGATTTCAAAATGCGTTATTTGTTCTCAAGTTCTTTTTGCTGACAGTTTAAATGTTAAAGGTCAAAGATGATTGATAATTATCACATTTTAATGTTTGTGGGTGTGTGACTGCAGCTCTGGAGAGAAACTATATCTGATAAAGGTGAAATAAGAGATGTCTCTGAAAGGCACTAAATGATGAAGTGGTTCTCTCGCTCTTTACAGATGGCTAGAAGAAACGAGTGAAGTCAGGCATGTCGCAGGTAATCACAAATGTAATTGCATCCATTTTGAGGTTAGCCATGGCACTTAGCAGCAGCTCATATCCTTTTCATTGACCTCACTGTAGAGAGAAACGATGAGACTCAGGCCAACAAACAAGTAAATCAAATAACCAAACAAGTAACTTTCCTGTGTAACCAAGGGGCAGGGTTTGGGTAAAGTCGGGGAGTTTATGGGGATTGAACAAGCCTCAAGTGGCCACTAGAGGAACTTCAGTTTTTGGTAGCTCTGCCTCATTTTTCAGCCACTGATGTTGCTGCCTGGTTAAGTCAAAAAAGAGCTAAAAATTGAGCCAAAAAACTTTCAATTAATACTTGTGATTTCTTTTATTAAGCCAACACTATTTCATCCATTAAACTGCTCACTGCACCAACCACCACAATTTATATTTCTCCAACAAAAGTAGCATTCCAACACCATCGCTATTACAAAAATTACATTATGCTCTGTGCTCTAAAATGCAACCACTAATGAAAATAATCCTAACATGTAAATTCTGGGAAAGTATGATAGTATCATGAGGCCACAACAGTATATTCAGCCATCAAATCAAAATGATACAGATACAGCAAAAGATGTCTAGGTGCAAAACAATGTTCATCACTACAGTACTAATAATTTAACTATCAAAAGGTAAAGATTTCAGACAGTAGGAGTGGGTGAAGGTTAACTGAGTGATATTTACAACATCCCATGTTTTCAGTCCACCAACCTGAGCCACAAGATTTTTGAAAGGCCACATAAAAAAATTCAATGCCCAAGCAGATATGTGACTATGTACATAAAATACAGTTTTTATACTTGCAATAGGCATCTGTTTGCGTGGGGAAGTGCATCTGCTGGTGCCTTTACATGATTTTATTGCTGAAGATGTGTGAAAGCAACACAAAAGCACACAGTGAATAAAATGAATGCTTTCTCTGTGAATGAAAAGGCAAATTTGTGCTTTAAAGACCTACATATACAACAACTGACAACGATTTATGGAATGATTTTCAGGATTTTGACTACTGTGTTTGAGTTGGATCAGTGTTCTCATCTACCAATGAATATTATCATATTTACACACAAGTTTTCTAGGCGAGTACACAAAAACTGTCATGAATATAAACAAATGGTACAACAGCAATTCTTTCCATTCACATAACATTAAGCAGTCCATCAGCATTACTTCAGTCTGTTTTTAGTAACAAAGACTCCACCCTGTCAGAAATATGTTGAAAGAATCTCATTATGCCTGATATATATGATATAAAATCAGGTATAATATAAATGTGAATAATAAAGTGCTGCTAACGGGTAATTTTCCTCTAATTGTGCATTTAAACATATGATACAGCAGTAATTGACAGCCACTTGGGCATTTACCTAAGCTGCACAGGTAAGTTAAGTAAAATAGATGACCAAAAGAGAGTTTGAGCTACTCAATACTGCAGAATTCAGAAATAAAAGCAAAAACACAGACCATTATATAGTTGTTCTGAATGTATGACCCAAGAAAGATGAAAGCGGTTTTCGAACAACGAAAGATCTCCAAAAGGCTGACATTCATTTCAGTCCACATTTCTTCTTTTTCTTTCTTTTTGTTTTTATGAAAAAACGTTTGTTTGTCACTGAATAACAGCATGTAACACTAGAATGCATGATAGCTCTGAAGCCAATTCACCAGACTATGTTAGCTCAGGAGGTAATCTCACCACAAAGATACAGAGAGAGAAGAAGCTCTCTGTCTGGATCAGGTTAGTCTAACCTGAAGCTGTACCAAAGTGATAAGGCTGAAAGACTGATGGTTGTATTAGACAGGCACTTAAACGGACACATTTTCTGGGTTTTTTGGGGCAGACTTTTGGTTTTGTGGCTGCTGATTGCGACACACTTGTGTCATGGATGGATGATTTATGTATTCAACATTATTGCCAAGTTTAGTTCTCTGGTAGTGATCTGTGTAGATACTGTTCCCTATTTCCAATTTCTTCATTTGAACTGTGAAAAAGGAATGGTGTAAAAAAATTTATTAATTCCGGGATTGGGGATTAATTTTTGTTTTTTTTTGCTTTTTTTTTTGGTTTTCTTTTCTTATTGGGCAAAATTTTTTTCCAAAAAAATACAATGTTCTATAGTTTTCTACCAACAAAGAGTAAAAAGAGTAGTAGTTACATATATGTATAATTTGTGAAGTGTTGTTGCTAATTTAAATTTCATCATGCAAAAATGAACATTCTCATCATCTCACACCCAAATATCACAGTTTTTCTATGCAGTAACTTTCTCGGTACAAGCTTACTTTTCAGCAGAGTATTGGGACCTTTTTATAAGGGCAGTGCCCCATCTGGTGGAGTGATATAGTCAAGTTGTGCAGCATCAACAGTGCCAGAGTGTACAGTAACACAGCAATACAGTATGATCATTTAAAAAAGACATTTTTTGCACTTAAGCTACAGCGCTCTTTAACCAGATAGTCGCAAAAAAAATCACTGTAACAGGTGACAGAACAGCACATATCAGTAAAATATTTAGTGAGGGGGAAAAAAGATGTTAAAAGAGGCCAGTTGATTGCAGACTCGGCTTTTCCTTCTGTAAAAATATCTTTAAAAATATTAAAACCTTCCCCACCATCCTAATCTCTCCTCTGTATATTTTCTGCCAGGCGACGCGGTGCCCATCGAGTTCTCGTTTCTATGTGTGACATGAAAGCAGCAGCAGAAGACGTCGTGGCAGAGCGAATCACACAGGTCTGTTCTGTTTGGTGGTGAGGACACCTGAAATGTGGTGACAGTGTGAAGAATATACTATCAGTGTATCCGTCTACTTCTAGTCAGCAGACTCTTCTCCTTTGCTGTTGATCTGAGAAAGAGTTTGTTGGAAAGTTCAGTCCCAGACGCTCAGAGCTGCGAATCGGCTCCCAGGCTGTTGAGCTCCTCCGGTGTGTGCTTCTCTGCCATGGCAGCAGTCTGACGGAAGCCGGCCGCGATATCATCAAATGTCCGGCCCTTGGTCTCTGGCACTTTGAAGTAAGTGAAGATGAAGAATATGACCAGTAGCACAGTGAAGATGACAAAGACGTAGGGACCGCACGCGCTCTGCGAAGAGACACGAGAAGCGAACCAAAAGATATTAGATTGATCAACTTGTTTCTTAGTACTTGGAAGCAATTCATCTTTCACAATTCTGTTTTGTATCTTGAACTCAGTATCATACATAAGCACTGATTGATTGATTGAATTTGAACATGACTAAAATATCAACAAAATACACTTTAACAATAACGACACAAAGGAGGAGTTGCTACAAACACAGACTTAAAGGTAAACTCATTTGATCCTACCTCAATATACAATATACATGTATAATTACATACAGTTATATAAGTCTACACACAAATTTCAAGCATAAAAATCCTAATAACCATAAAGCTAAATGTTGGGTTTAACTGTGCCTGTCTGTAGAACGAATGAAATGTTTTGCTTAAAAAGGGCTCAACTCATATCTCAAGTCTGGCTACAAAGTATGTGTTTCATTTACAGTGACAGACTCTTGGTATAAAATGAGGAAGTCATCATAAAAAAGAACCTAGCTCAGCTTTACTATTTGACACAACCGGTCCAATAAATTCAGTCAGTAACAAATGCAAGAGCCTATGTTTTTGTGATAGTTATGTACTTTTACTCACCGCAACATACTGGAAGCCCATTCCCACTATAAAGTTGGCAGTCCAGTTGGAAAAACCAGCGACAGCAATGGCTGAAGGCCTGGGTCCCTGCGAGAACAACTCTGCCACGATGAACCAAGGGATGGGACCCGGCCCGATCTCAAAGAATGCCACGAAGGCAAAAATGGCTACAATGCTTACATAAGACATCCATTTGAGTTGGTCCTGCAAAAATACAAGAGGAACGTGTTTGAAAGTTGCACGTCAAAGTCATAAATCAGGTGACACTGAAGTGTGCCTTTGTCAGGAATACACCTACCAGCAGAGCCATAGCAATAGTCATGAGGATGGCTGATCCAGCCATTCCCAGCAGCCCCAGTAGGTGCAAAGACCTGCGTCCTGCTCGTTCTACGACAAACAGCTACAAACACAAAGAAATGAGGAGAAAGGTCAGTGTACCATATGCATGCTTTGTATCACAAATCTGATTACAAGGGACCAGAATCATTTTTGAATTGTGCTTTGGCAGAACACAATCTGATGTTTTTGACACCTATAATGCTATTTTGTGTACTGCTGTACTCACCGACACCACAGTGAAAGCTGTATTAACCACACCGGCTCCAATGGTGGCATAAACGGGCTGCTCAACTCCAGCTTTCGTAAAGATACTAGTGGAGTAGTAGAAAACCTAAAAACAAACAAGTTGACATGTAGGTTGGTTCAGGATATCATCTCCTGATATCAACTTCACAATTTCAGCGGCAGTCTTTAGAGGGAATAATCTGAATGACATGTAGGTCTTGAAACTTACAGCGTTAATACCAGACAGCTGCTGGGAGAGCTGAAGCATGACAGCAATGAGCAGGGGCTGACGGTAGAGGGGCGAGCGGAAAAGCTCCAGGATGGTCACCTTCTTCTCTCTCATCATCTGCCGGCTCTCCTCCTTCATTTCCTGCATGTCAGCACTCACATCAGTGGTGCCCCGGAGCTTCTTCAGCACTGAAACATGTAAGAAAAAAACAACAGATGATTGATGATGAACTTATGTTTACACATATGCCAGCTTGTATGACTTGTATGTATGTGCTCACCGCATTTGGCCTTGTTCTCTTCGTTCTTGTTGATGAGCAGGAATCGGGGGCTCTCTGGGCAGAGAGGCAGCAGGACGCACTGTATCACAGCAGGGATGAAGAGGAAAGCCAGGAGGAGAGGCCACAGGTCCTCATTTCCCATGATCACTTTCAATCCAAATATCTAAAACCCACACAGACACTAATGAACTGCCTGCATAGCTCCTAGCAACCACCAGTAGAAACAATTTATCACAGGATAAGACATATCACAAGACAACGAATGCCACAAATACATATTCACCAACCTGTGCAATGAGGATTCCAATGACAATGCCCAGCTGGTGTAGCGTGCCCAGGGCTCCTCGTAGGGCTGTTGGGGAAATTTCACCCACATACATGGGCACGAAACCTGTGGAGAGGCCACAGTACAGCCCAACCACAAAACGGCCAATGATGAGCATTTCCCACGACTTTGCCATCTTTGAAAAACCCATCAGAACGGCCGAGATAAAAGCCAGAATATTGGCCATGAGCATAGAGTTCCTCCTGTAGACATCCAAGAACAAGATACAATTTAGACAAATTAAATGCAGGCAGGCTCTCAGCAAAGCACTAACGTGCTGTTTAATACTAGCAGTGACTCAGTGTGTTGTTTACCTTCCCAAGCGGTTAACAAAGAGTCCTACTGAGAATGAACCAAAGATGCCACCGACAGAGAAGACAGAAACAGCGATGGACCACACAGCTGTCAGGGAGCCTTCGGTAATGGGTTCATTGTAACGGTGATACCACGTTTGATTGATGAAGTTCTCAATAATCTAAGAAAGACACATTTCATTGTTACTTTTGTTTCCAAGGATTATAAACAAGATAAAATCTATCTTACAGAATCATTTAATACATCCACAAGTCCCACTGTTGTCATAGTTGTAATGTGATCATTCCATGTCTGCATCAGATCACCCGCCTGAGATTTTCCTCTTCTGAACCCTGCCACATAGCTGAAATGCCACTTTACAGCCAGCTGATGGCAGCACTGTATAATGACCAGCATTTCCTGGCCACCAGGAAGTTTATCAGACACGGGTGTCGGGTTTCACGTCCCCTCCCTTCACTGTGTCACCACATCCCAGACAACTTTGTTGACAAACACACCCAGGAGTGCGGGTGACGGTGCTTAAAAAGCAATGCCTGCTTCTGTTTCTGTGAGTCACGCTGACACCTCTGGCATGATTCAAAAAGGTCACTACCAGTTCCCAACGCCCCGTAAATGACTTCACCAGTATAGTTCTACTGCAACCAAAATCTAAGTCTGGATCTTCTGGATCATGTGCCTTTGAGCTCGTGCAGCACATTTTTTTGAGGCACTCTGCAGTTAATCTAGTCCCGGAGATCGTGATGTACTAGAGATCAGTGACGGCATGTGGAAAAAAAAACAAACTCTGAGATGTCCTTATTAGCAGTTATGAATAGGAGACTTTGGCTTGTCAAGGGCTTTTCTGTAGTGGAGGGATACATATTAAATGACACTCTGACACTGTTAACACGGAGCCTGGGTCACATCCACTATCAACTTACACTCACAAGACCTTGTTGGTGATAAGTATGTATGGTATCATATACTGTACTGTCCCCCTGGCCTTCATCCCATCACGTCTGCCCTTTAAAAAGAACACGTTCACAGAGTTTATGCAAGCAGAGATCGAACATAAATAAGTACTTTACTTAAGCGCTGTAGTTTAGCAAAGCTGATGGAAAAGAGCAAAAGTGTAAGGAGAAAAGTATGTATTTATTTACACATGGTCTCCATCAGCTTTTAAGTTCATATGAAGCTGGTTGCACACAGTTGTTTACTTATGCATTCAGAATTACGGAGCAACACAATCTCTCATTTGGTAGTAAGACATTTTAAGGTAAGACCCTATTCACTGTCTTAAAAGGAGATGTACTATGCAAAGTCATCTCTTTTTGGTTTTTTCATTGCATTCGCAAGTCAAAGACCAACACAGTATAACTTTTTTTCCTTTATCCTTGGATTAATAAACTAATATCTTAATAAACTGCAGCTACTTATTTATTTTTCTCCTTTTTTAAAATTTCGTGTTACTCTAAAACGTTGTATTCCAGTTCTGTTTCAAGCACGGCTGTGTTTGTATTACCAGCTTTATTAGCTCTCCTATTTCACTGGTCCATGAAATAGGACACCATGACACCATCAGGGAAGGTACTGTTCCCTAAAAGGGGGCGTGGCCAGCCATATCTGCTTTTAAAGCTACAGACACTAAAATGCAAAACCTGGGGAACAGAAATAAAAACCAGAGGTAAACTGGTATGAACTAGGTATGAGCTGAAGAGTGAAAGGCACATCCTGGGCACAGGTGAATCTTAAATTAAGTTGCAAGGCTCCTGTTTTGATCTCTACCAACTCCTAAAGGAAAGCATCTGGCACATTAAGCTCCTAAATGCTCAAACAACTGTCAACTAACTTTGTTTTGAAATTTGTGCTGGACTGTGTAGTTTTTCTGTGGGTTTTTGAAGCTTCAATCACTGCCTGCATTAACAGTTTGATCTGAAAAACCAGCGAAAGAGCTCTGCAAAACTAAAAGCAAACTCCAGGTGTTTTCAACTCTACAATCAACATCTTATACATGTTTTTCCACTGCCATCTTTTAATGGTTACTTTAAAACTCTCACTAACTTTAACTTGTTAGCGACTAATTACAAGGTGGCCCTTAAAAAGTTACATAATTGGTTCTTGTTCTCTAATCTCAATAGGCTACACAACCCAAACCACCAGCTGGCTTAAAGTACACATTGTGAAAACTGTCTATTCATGCTGACTGGCCTTCAGCCTTGGTGATGAAACTGGCTGGGGACCAGGCTGTCAAGGCAAGCAATGTATTCAGCACGCACAGGATAAAAATACTGAAAAAGGCAACAATAATATAGTTTCTCTTGTTTTAAGACCTTTCTAATTAAAAAGCACTAAAATAGATGTGAACTACATAGTTATATTGTTTCAAAAGGAGAAATCTTTAAAGAAAAGTGAAGCACCCTCCCTCCTGCAATACATCCAATGAGCCTACATTCAAGTGTTGATCAGGCAAACATTCAATGGCTGGAGCACAGGACAGCCTGAACAAGGCCCTTGAAAAGGCGTATCTAATCAGAGACACTCCAACACAGTACAAGGCTTGCGTCACAGGCAGTAGCAGCATTACTGCAGCCTTTATCACACATATGAACTGAAGAAAGAGGTGGTGGAGATAATCTTAGGTTCTGCTACTATAAAAAAACACACAACTTTTTTGTGAAATTGTAGCCTCAGAGGTCATAATCAGAGTCTTTACTATTGCCATTGCTCAGACATGTGTTTCTGTGTGCTGTAAGCTTAAGAACTAGGCTGGTTTTTTGGGAAGGGAAATCAAGGGGACAAGTTCACACTAGCCCACTATGTAATAATTACCCCTCCCCGTGCCACTCACAAGACACGCTGTAGGTGATTATATGATGATGAACATGTGTTGCTAATAGTGTAGAGAAAGATTTGAATACTATTAGCAACAATTTGTGACGTTTTATTCTTGAAAATAACATAAGACTGTGTGCAGGTCTAGATCACTTTTTAGCAAATAAGGACAAGCTTGCGTCTGTCAGAGTCAATCAACAGAAGATGAACTCAGGCAATTTTTCAGCTAAAATCCTTCACTCAGCTTCTTAGTTGTGACGATTTAACACATTTTATAGTTTATGCGCTTTAATTATTTTTCTTTTACATATTTTAGACCACATTACTATCATGATAACCTAATGTGATAATCAGACTCTTAATTTTAAAGGAATTTAGTGGACTGAAAGCTTCTCTAATTGAAAAGGGTCCTTCATATCAAGGTTGAGCATAACAGAGAACAGCTCAGTTTAGGAGGGCCTGTCTGGGCCTCCTTCCTAGTACCTCTGTGTGGGTCAAAGATAACATAAAAGGAGTGGAGCTCTAGCCTGTCTGGAGACACACCTATTACCTGCAGAGAGTAGTCTGAATAGCCATAGGGTGTGTTCAGACCAACGCAAACTGAGCTGACAGTAGTTCTCACACACAATGCGACACAGGCATTCCTTAGGAAATGAACGTCTTTGGTGTACCTTCCTGTTAATAAATCGACTGTCTTACTTAGTCTTCTAGGGGGCTTTGGAACATTGTTTTTCTGATCTTCTTTTTGTTACGGGGATAAGTCACTGTCTGCCTCCTAAATTTAATTTCTAAATTTCATTCTCAAGCATTTGCCAGCTGGCTTCTGGTCAAAAGAGGTCCATGTTTGGGCATAGACACTCTCTGCTGCTCTCTGTTGATCCAGATGTCCTTGGACCCGTTAGGCCTAAATTCAGCTATTATTACCTCACCTCTTAACCTACACCCTCCCTTTTCTGCGATGTTCTTCAAGGCAGCGAGTGAATTAACAGTGGAACAAAGTTGGATAGTTGGAAAGCACTTGATTAGCTTGATTGATTTTTGCAGACCCGGAGATTCTGGAAGCTTTTTGGAAACCCTGGTTATTTTATGGTTATTCTGAAGGCTGTACTTTGTGTTCCTTCGTCTGATATGACAATAAACACTGAACGAACACCTGTTGAAACCAAAAACTTTCAATTTGAACCTTTATGACAACAGCCTCTTGTTCATGCCTCACTCTCCCTTAGCTTTTTGTAATAAGACAGTTTACAGCTCACCTCCTGGGGGGCGTTGATAACACCTGTGTTGTAGCCAAACTGCAGGGAGCCAATCACCGCAGTTCCAACACTCATCAACAATGGAAGTGTTATTTGCTGAAAGAGAACAGGGGAAATATTGTCAGTAAAGATACCAGTCTGACCAGTTAATCACATTTTACCAAGCGATTAAAAAACATTTGTGTCCATGAGCTGGCACAGAAAATCCCACAGATCTCAGTTTACTGACCAAGAATGGAATTGATGACAAGTACATTTTCCACCCTGATGTAGTTATTATAATGTTTAATGAACACACTGTTAAGATTTCCTGAAATATTTTAAAGACACTTAATATACTGCTACAGTACATAAAACTGTGAATATGGAGCATAAAAGATGTTTATTCCAAACAGACAAACAGAGAAAAAAGAGAAATCCACCTTCGAGCTGTAACTATGTCCGTTGAAGACATTATTAACAGACTGAGATGAATAATGGATCATACAAACATTTTTAGGTCTAAAGGGGGGTCACAGGTTTGTCCTTTGGAAAGCTTTCCAGATTTCTGAGTAAAGCTGCCTTGTGAAAAATGTCCATGTCAGACTTAGGTCTACTGATCTTATTGTCTGTGCTCTTATTCCTGTTATTACAGAGTTCATTTTTAGCTTGATCTCACCAGAGCCCAGTAGATTAGAAGAATACCAAGAAGTTAACAAACCAGTGCATGGTATGTCGCTCTCAGTTTCTAGTTCGCAGACAGGGAAGCAAACGCCTCGAGCTACTGTCCACCAACACTAGGGCTGCCACGAATAGTCGACTAGTCACGATTACGTCGACTATCAAAATCGTCGACGACTGATTTAATAGTCGACGCGTCGTTTGAAGCTTTGTAAGATCACAAAAGACGCAGAAATATTGCACATTTTTTTACTGTAAATTTCTAAGTTAAATTTGTAAATTTTGTATAACTTGTAAATTGTAAATACTGTAAAACCACTGTCATTTAATGGTCGGGCATTGCATTGCACAGCTACAAGCATTTCACCTCATGTCATACTGTGTATGGTTGTGTGTGTGACAAATAAAATTTGAATTTTGAATTTGAATTTGAATAAGTAGTAGGATTTAAGAGTGTAATAACGGACTGAAACAGAAGATGGCAGCACTGCATGTACAAGGATGCCAGCTGCTGTTAAACCCCGAAGAAGAAGAAGAAGAAGCTGTGTCCCAGAATTCATAGCGTGGCCCAGCTCAGTTTCCAACAATGGCGGCAGCTAGTTAGTTTTAATATTACTCTTATTATTCTTTCTGGGTCACAAAATAAATGTTTAAC